AAAAGAGATGAGGTTTCACCATATTGGCCAGGCTAGTCTCAAACTCCTGAGCTTGTGATCCACCTGCCTTGGCTTCCCAAAGTGCTAGGATTACAGGCGTGAGCCATCGTGCCTGACTTTTTTTTTTTTTTTTCTTTTTGAGATGGAGTCTCACTCTGTTGCCCAGGTTGGAGTGCAGTGGCGAGATCTCAGCTCACTGCAACCTCCACCTCTCGGGTTCAAGCGATTCTTCTGCCTCAGCCTTCCGAGTAGCTGGGACTATACAGGTGCATGCCACCATGCCCAGCTAATTTTTGTGTGGGTGTTTTTAGTAGAGACAGAGTTTCACCATACTGGCCAGGCTGGTCTCGAACTCCTGACCTTGTGATTTGCCTGCCTTGGCCTCCCAAAGTTCTGGGATTACAGGCGTAAGCCGCTGCACCCAGCCAATTTTTTGTAGAGACAGGGTTTCACCATGTTGCCTGGGCTGGTTTCTAACTCCTGGGCTTAAGGGATCCTTCCACCTAAGTCTCCCAAAGTGCTGGGATTGCCGGCCACAGTGCCCAGTCTAGATGCATTTTTTTGATACTTCAAAAAAGCTGACTGTAGAGTGTTGGTCTTAAAAGCTTAAGTGTATCAGTCGTATTTTAATGGCAAAGTTAAATAATAGAATCTCACATAAATGATATGGATATAGGAGACTTTCCCCATATGCCTCATTACTTTGATATTTATAGTCAGCAATGTGGTTTGAAACCACTGACATTCATTGAAATGTCATATTTTAGTTGACTTGTAAGCTCTTTTAGCTTCTATTGTTTGAAAGTTTAGTTCATGGTAAAATTTCTGCTATAGACACAATTCAAATCCACATCCACACGGAGGTCCTCTCACCTCCTCATCTTTATTTTTTATTTTTATTTATTTATTCATTTTTGAGACGGAGTCTCGCTCTGTCACCCAGGCAGGAGTGCAGTGGCAGGATCTCGGCTCACTGCAAGCTCTGCCTCCCAGGTTCACATCATTCTTATGCCTCAGCCTCCTGAGTAGCTGGGACTACAGGTGCCCGCCATCATGCCTGGCTGATTTTTTGTATTTTTAGTAGAGACGGGGTTTCACTGTGTTAGCCAGGATGGTCTTGATCTTCTGACCTGATGATCCACCCGCCTTGGCCTCCCAAGGTGCTGGGATTACAGACATGAGCCACCATGCCTGGCCTAAAGAAACTATTTATTTATTTATTTATTTATTTTTTGTTTTAGTTTTTTGTTTGAGACGGAGTCTTGCTCTGTCGCCCAGGCTGAAGTGCAGTGGCCGGATCTCAGCTCACTGCAAGCTCCGCCTCCCGGGTCTACGCCATTCTCCTGCCTCAGCCTCCCGAGTAGCTGGGACTACAGGCGCCTGCCACCTCGTCCGGCTAGTTTTTTTTT